TAAAAGTAAAAATAAAAGAAATAGAGGTTAAAATAAAGCTGCACAAAGATGGAAAATACACAGGGAATCTTGATACTGTATGCTATTATGCACTGTTTGAATTGTTTGAGTGCTGAAGAAGGAGCAACCGCTGCTAAAAGATATTTGTTTATAAATGCTGCTGAACTAATCAGGTGCCACCATACCTGGTCTATTATTATTATTATTTTATTAATATTATTATAAAAGCTTGGATCCAGTGCCTAAAGTTCAGGTCCTCACACTGTTTGACAAGAACTTTATGAATTGAGGGTCTCTCAGGCCTTCACTTTATTCTTTCCTGAAGTCTTGGTGCCCCTTCATTGTCTGTCTCAGATAACCGTCATCTAAGTTCTGTCTGTAGCTGTGCTGACATATATGTTCTGTATCCCAGGCAAGGCTGGCAGTAAGCATTATCCCTGCTGATCAGCAGTCTCTAGTGAATTTGAATTGATAATAAAGCCTTCAGTTTTGTTTCTGAAGATCACCTGAATTCAGTAACATTTTAACACAAAATACCAAGTAATAAACTCCTTTTCCTTGGTACTTCAGAAATGTTTGGGGGCTGGAGAGATGACTCAGCAGTTAAGAGCACTGGCTGCTCTTCCAGAGGGCTCAGTCTCAATTCCCAACAACTACATGGCAGCTCACAACTGTCTGTAACTCCAATTCCAGTGGATCTGGCACCTTCACTCTGACATACATGTGGGCAAAATACCAATGCACATAAAAACAAATAAAATCTTTTAAAAAGAGAAATGTTTGGAACAGAACAGCTCGGCTTTCTGCAGACCATCACCACCAGCATACACAACAACCCGACAGCAGTGTGTGTGTGTGTGTGTGTGTGTGACTACAGTGTACATTTCAGTCCAACGCCACAACACCACAGAGCCCTGGGCTTATCTCCATGAGCCAAAGCTAACTATGCCAGCAAGGCCTGCTGCATATGACTAGGAAGATGAATGAGCACAGAAAGATTTAGAGAGAAGCACAGGATCTAAACTTCCCACATCTGAGGTCTGAAACACCCGTCCATGTTCTGGTGCAAACGGTCACTCTGGTAAGGTCTCTTGCTGTAAATATGGCATAAAGGTCCCAGGTCTTTAAGTCACCTTCTTGGACACATAAGGTCAACCTGTGAGAATCCTCCCCATCACCATTGGTGGTTGACATTTCTGAGTCACTGACCTTTATGTCCCCCAAAGGACCTAGACCATTAAAGTGACCGACTTCCATTGGTGACTACAGCGCAGTCCCCGGGAACAGACAGAGTAGCCATCACACAACCCTCCTTTCTTTCTGCTCTTCACACCAGCCTTGTCTGGCAGGCACTGTTCATACTCCTTGCTGGACCTCTTGTAGGAAGTAGCTCTTCAGGTTCTCTGCTTTTGGAGAAATGACATTTATACTCTGAGCTACAAAACCAAGATGAAGAAATAGAATGGTTTAATGTCAGAAGAGAGAGAAAGAAGACAGGTGAGGAGAGGCAGTCGTGCCACACAGGGCCTGACCCCAAACCTGCCATCCCGTTCCTCTTTGCTGCTTTTCTCCCATCCGGTGCTCGGGATCTGCGGATTTTGTCTGAGCAGCTCTGTCTGCACTGGAGTGTTCAAGTCAGCCACAGTGATAAAGGACACCCACCCTGAGGATGCTCTTTCTCACCGCAGTGGTGGCAGTTGTTCAGCATCTGCTGCATTTCAGTACTTTCTCAGTAAAGAGTTAAGGAAAGAAGTCAGAATGACTGAGATGTACAGAAAATGTCAACATGAGGTCCTGAGACATGACCTCTACATGCAGGGTTCTGGGGTGCATAGAGTGAAAAGAGGCACACTTTGAAGGCCCTTGTCCCCTTACTTTGAAATACAAATTTTTTCTGTGACTATATGTGGAAGATTTAGCGAATGGATATATGACCTAAATCAATGGATGTTAGAAAGTATTCACTTTCCTTTTAGCTTAGTGTCCTACTTCAGATAGCCCACTTTCATATTATACCTATAGAATATATAGACACATATGTATACTTCTATAAGCCAAACAAGTCTCTATTTTATCTACATTCTCGTGGGAATCAAGAGAATCCCCAGCCACCACAGGTACGGGGGTACTGTAGTAAGACTGAGAGGACTGTGGCGTGGTATTCATCATCTTCTTATCATAAGAAACATCGAGATAGCTAGTTTACGAAGAGAAAGCTCCCCTAGCGCTGGAGCTTTCACATCAAGGCAGTTATGGGAGGATGTCATGGCAAGGGACACTCAGTAGAGCAAGCTGCTCACCTCGAGACTGGACAAAGAACAGGAAGTGATGTTGGGGATGTGGCCCAGCTGGTAGTGGCTGCCTAATATGCATGAAGTCCTGGGATCCCTCTTTAGCTCTTTATAATCCGGGGGGTGTGATGACAGATGCCTGTAATCCCATCAACTGGTAGGTGAAGGCAGTAGGATCAGAAGTACAGACATTCTTGGCTATATAGCCGACTCGGCGCTCAATGGGCTGCGAGGGTCCTAGCCTTTAAAAAGATGAGAGTGATTTGGTGTGGGAGTGCATGCCTTTCATCCCAGCACTCGGGAGGCAGACACAGGTGGAGTGAAGTCAAGGCTAACCAGGTTTATGTAGCACGTTTCAGGTCAGCAAACTTACACAATAATACCCTATATTGGAAGAGAGGGAAGTGGGGGAGGGATTGGGCTGGCTCTCCCTATCCCTGCAATGATGTGCTCCCAATGACTGTGGGGCCAATGACTGACTAATATTGACCCATTTTTTAACTGTGGGAGAGTTTTAGAATTGTAGATATAGACATATTTAAAATTGTTTAGAATATGACTGCCCTCGAAATGCCAAATGTTCTTTTGCTCAATAATTTACTCATTCTTTCAATAACTCTTACTTTTCTGTCAGCTTACTCAGATCTACAAGCATTGTGAATATTAATAGCAGTGAATATAAGCTACTTTCAGTAATTTCAAACAAAACGTTAAAACTTATTTAAAAATTTGCTATCATGAATTTCTACAGTCGAACGTGGGACTAGTCCACTACTCTGACTACAAATGTCCTGTACTTTGGTCTCCCACTTGTAGAATTCAGAGATTTCCCAGTAGGCACGGGTCCTGGGTTATTTTTGGTGTTTACTAAAATATAAAGCCATGCTGCCCACAGCTTCTGTGACACCTGATGTGTGATACCAGAGAAACCGGCTGGGAATGGAAAAATGGGCCGACACCATCTTTGACGATTAGAGAGTATTAATTTTAAAAAAGTGTTTACATGTGCTTCCCTCATTCCTGTCTAGGAATTTAGACATACTATACACCTATAGGGATATTCACACCACAGACTTTTCTGTAACAAAAGATCAAAACCACAGTTCAAACAAACAAAAACTCCAATCAGGTCAAGGTGGCCCATTCCCTTAATTCTGAAACCGAAAAAGTAGGAGCGGGTCTATCTCTAGGATTTCAAGGCCAGACTACTCTAAGAGAAAGTTCCAGATCAGAGAGCACTACATAGTGGGACTTTGCCTTAAAACAAATAAAAAACTCCAAACGGGTGGAGGTATTTCAGTTTTGGAATGGTTAAATGCTGGTACTTTTAATTATGTCGATTATGATCAATTAAATGCCCTATGCCATTTAAAACTAGAAAAAACATATATTTAAATAAGGAGAAATATGTTGTATAAAACCTTTGCTATATTTCTTTTCGGCGGCAAAAGGCCACACCTGTGTGAGAAAGTAAAAACCATGAACAACATACAAAACGTTTGTATGTTTGAGGACGGGTGAAGAAGCAGGGATGGGGGCGGGGCAGGTCGGCAGTTGGGTACGCGCGATACCAGTCTCCAGCTACAGGCGGCACTGTTAGAACCTAGGGCTGGCGCCGTGTGACGTCATCACGGCGGGCCACGACGCACGCGAAGTAGAAAGGCGTCGGCCTCAGCGCGTTCCTGCGAGTGCGCTCTGGATCCTTCGGCGTCTCCTGGCGGCCTTGAGGTCGCCACCCTGGCCGCTCTGGCCCGTCTGGCGTTGGGTGGGCGGCATAGCTGCGCCCACATGAACCAGCGGCATTACGGCCGCAATGGTCGCGGTCGGAGCCGAGACTTCGCTGGCCGTGCCCCATCGAAGAAGAAGGGCAGAAACCACGTCCCGGAAAGGTATGGCGCTTTGGTTCCGGGCTGAGTCGTTCCGGCTGCCGTGGCGGCCTAGTGTCCTGTTCGCCGCGGCCTCGCTCCCTTCCGCCTCCCAGAGTCCTCCGCGCCGAACCTCCCCGGCCCCGGCATTCTGAGGTCTCAGTCTCGGGCCGGCGCGGAAGTGCGCGTCGGGGCGCGGCTGCCGGTCTGGGAGTCGTCCCTCGATCCCTGGGAGTGGCGGTCTTGAGAGTGTAGAGGCGCTGTGTGAGCATCTGGTCTGAGCTGTAGACACCCTGCGCTCTTTCCCGACTGGAGAGGTTCTGTGGCTTCCAGGACTCTGGAGGCGGCGCTGTCTTTTGAGGGAGGCTTTCCTGCCCGTGCCAGTTGTTAGGTGTATGAAGTTGCTCACAGGTGGTGTGAACTCTTCTTGCCACTGCCGGCTCCCCTTCCCGTATTTCAGAAGTCGGTTGTTTTATCTCCACAAATACGGAATAGCTGAAGTCAGGCGTGGTCAACGTGGCCTCTCCTCTTCCTAGAATAGAACAAATCTTTTATCTCCACAATTAAGCAATTGGGAGATAAAACCCAGGATAGGCAGACTGTCCTCTCCCCATTCCCAGATTCAGTAAGCATTTATCTCCACTGAGGAGCGACACCTGACATCCAGAATGGACGTAATGCCCTCTTTGCCTTCCCAGACTTGAGTAAGCACTGAATAATTTTCAAAGTCTGTCAGCTTTCCTCCGTCGTTGCCCCAGTGCAGAACTTGTTTGACGTGTGGCAGAAGGCAGGTGTCCATTTTTTTACTCTTATTTCTTTCTTATCCATTCTTTTGGGGGGGGGGTTGTTTTTGTTTTTTTGTTTGTTTGATTTTTGTTTTTTTTCGAGACAAGGTTTCTCTGTAGCTTTGGTGCCTGTCCCGGAACTAGCTCTTGTAGACCAGGCTGGCCTTGGACTCCCAGAGCCACCACCATTCTTAACATACTCTTATATAGTTAACATACTCTTATATAGTTAATCATTTAAACTGAGTATCAAGTAGTAATTGGGGAAAAGCTTATAGATGTAAGGTGAAGCTTGACTTTAAAAATAAAAAGCCAACCGGGTGGCGGTTGTGCACACCTTTATTCTAGCACTCAGGAGGCAGAAGCAGGTGGATCTCTGTGAGTTCTAGGCCAGCCTGGTCTCCAGAGTGAGTTCAGGAAGACTCCAAAGCTACACAGAGAAACCCTGTCTCGAAAAGCCAAATTAATTAATTTAAATAAAATAAAATGTCAACTCTTTGTCATGGCCTACACACTCGGTTTCACGGTTCAGAGGTTCTCTGTGTCTCCAGCCCAATCTCTTGTGCTCAATCCTCACCTTCTGATCTTCTATACTAGACGAACCCTGGTTATTTGTAATTATGGACAGAGACCAACTCAGCTGTGAGTCTCCAGCTGCCCCTCGTCATGCCTGAAGTTCAGGTTGTCTATTCGTGTAGGAACTAGGAAACTTCTCCATGCTGAATTGTCACTCGCGTGGAGACCGCAAACACTGCGCACTGAATCTGAGCTCACAGCCAGTGTGTAGGTATTCATTACTCCTGGCTGGTTTTAATATTTTTAGTTACCACACAAAATGTGAGTCTCATTGTGACACTCTACATGCATGTCATTATTCTTTGCTCACACTGACCCCCACACATAACCTTCCCCCCTTGTGCCCTCCACTCCCTTTAGTCCCTTCCTCTGACACAATCCCCTTCTGCCTTCATGTCTGATATATCACCTTGGTATTTGATGCTGGGCTGTGTTTATCAGGGGCGTGAAAGTTCTGGCCATTTTGGTTTTAGGAATTTCTTGTTTGTCTTGTTTGTATCTGTTTTCAAGATGGAGACAGGAAGAAGAAAGTGTAGGTTGTTATTGTAGAAAGAGAATAGTTGAGTAGTGAAGGACAGAGCAGACATTCTCATAAAAGGACTTTGTGTGTGTTTTAGGTGCCCCATTGTTGTGTTGGGAGGCCAGGCTCACGTTCAGTTTGACTAACAAATACTCTGTCATAGGTGGAGAGACTATCTCCCAGTTGGACAGCGGATGCCTGGGACCCGTTTCATTGCTTTCAAAGTTCCCTTGCAAAAGGTAAGCGAAAGCTACTGTGGGGTTTTTTTCAGAAGTCTAAATTCCCCATGTAGAACACTGGCTCTCAGCCTGGTTGCTCTCTAGTTTCCCATCTTATGTCACTAACATGAAATGAGATTCACAGAGCAGTGAAGTCTACATCCGTATCTCATTTTAAGGAAAAGACAGTATAATGCCCTAACAATAATATGAAGAATAATTGTAACCGTGTTGTGTTTTGTGTCCACTTGACTGAACCGGTAGTTGAGTAGCCACTGTGTTGATAGGGCAGTTCCTCCGCTGGGAATCCAGTAGAACTTGTGGGGAATTGTTTGTGAAATGAATTTTAGTTCTGAGGCTTAGACAGATAGGAACAGGCTTTTGCTTTTTCTATACCTTGTTAATGTTGACTAGGACATTCTGAAGACATTTAGGCAGCGACACAAACACAGAAATATGTATATCAAAGTGAGTTCTCCCCCCCTCACTGGAAGAGAAGATTGTTAGGAGCTTTCAGAAGAGAGGAACCTGCCTTTGTTCTCATTGTGTGTGTCTCTCATGGGGCTGGAATAAATACAAACTGTGTGCAGGACTTGAAGCAGGTTTGCTCTCTCTTACCTTACTCTGACAGAAATTTGAAGCAGAGCTTATGCCAGAAGAGTACTTTTCTCCTTTGGATCTTTTTAATAAAATTCAAGAACAAAATGAAGAACTTGGATTGATAATTGATTTAACATATACTCACCGCTATTATAAAGCAGAGGTAAGTAGAACCTCTAAATGAAAAAAATAATTTATAGTAATTTAATAGCTTCCATCCTGTGCTGATGTGAAAACTAAGCTTCATCCATGGGTAGTAATAATTTTAAAGGAAAAGCAAAGTTTCCCTAATTTCATGTTGAAATGAGACTGGAGGACGGGCGTGGTAGTGAATGACGACAATCCAGGTCTTAGGAGTCTAAGGCAGGAGGATCACAAGTTCAATGCCAGCTTGGACTTACATAATTAAGTCTTAACAACAACAGCAGCAGCAGCAACACCACACACATACACACACTCACTAGATCGGAGACTTGAATTGAACTGTAATATGAGTGGTTGTCACTTAAGTCTCTTTCATTATCAAAAGCTTTGTAACCACCGAACATTAATTCACCCGTCTCCCACACTCCAGACCCCTAGTAACCTCTTGCCTGCTTTATAGTATGAATTTCTCAGTTTTAGTATCTCATTCAAGTAACGTAATGTAGCACATTTAAATTTTTAAATTTAAAGTATTTCATCATTTCCCTCCTCCTTCCTTTAACCTCTCCTAACCCTCCTTTTCAAATTCATAGCCTCTAACACTTAATTATTGCTACATGTTTATGCAAATAGCTATGCAAATGTAGCCTTCTGTTGCTTATATGTATTTTTTTAGGGTTGACCACTTTAGGATGCTTTTATATCTGAAGACTAATTCTCCATCTCTCGGTTGTTCTCAATTACCTGTAATTCTTAATCTAGGGTAGGGCCCTCTGCAATTTCTCCCATCCATGTTGGCATGTCAGTTGGTGTTATTGTTCAGGTCTGTGTAAGCACCCATATTGTTGAAATTTCATGGATGGAGCCTTTTCTGTCACATCTCTAAAATATAATCTTGCAACTGACTTCCTGGTCTTTGGACTCTTACCTTTCTACCTTCCTCATCTGAGATGTTCTCTGAGTCTGAGATGGAAGGATTGTGCTGGCGATGTATCAGTTGGGGCTGGGCAGCTCACAGGCAGTTGTTCTCTGTGTTTGACTAGTTGTGGCTTTGTGTAATAATCTGTGTACTGTAGGAGGAAAAAAGGAAGTATCTTTGTGTGAGAGTTATACTTATTAATAGAGAAATGTTTTTGTTTATTTTTTGAGACAGGGACAGCTCTGACTGTCCTGGAACTAGCTCTGTAGACCAGGCTGGCCTTGACCTCTCAGAGATACCCTTCCTCTGCCTCTCAAGTGCTGGGATTAAAAGCGATTGCCACCACCACCCATCAAGTACATTTTTTTAAAGGTTTTTTTTTATTTATTTGTATGAGTGTTTTTGCCTGCCTGTATGTATGTACATTGCAGACATAGCCTGGAGGCTGTGGAGGCCAGAAGTCGGCATGATATCCCCTAACTGACATTACAGATTGTTGTGAACTGTTGTGTAGGTGCTGGAAATTGAACATGAGTCTTCTCCAAGAGCAGCCAGTGCTCTGAACTATTGAACCATCTTTCCAGCCCTAATATCTTGTAATACTTGTCTTTTTGTGTCTGTATTATTTTACTAAGTTTGTTTCCAATGTTTATTGAAGCATATACTAGAATCTTTTTCTTTTCTGGCTCAATATTTCAGCTATGTATATATGCTGTATTTCATTATGGCCCCTATCTACTTCACTGCTTTGTGCCTTCCTTATCCCCCGTGTGTGTGTGTGTGTGTGTGTGTGTGTTGGGGGGGATTTATTTGTTTTTTCATGAGAAAAAGTCTCATCATGTGGCCCTGACTGGCCTGAAATTTATTATGTACACTAGGCTGGTGTTCAACCCACAAAGATCTACCTACTCTCGCCTCCCATGTGCTGGGATTGATTATGTGCGCTACCAGGCCCAGCATGTTCTGTCTTATTTTAAAGGAACCCTCAAATATCATAGAATTTATCTCTACTTTTTGATATTTATATATATGCAAAATACAATACTTTTTTCTTAATATCAGTCCTTTGACGTCAGATTTATAATCTGATCGTTCCTAAATGTCATCAAAATTGTCAGTTTGAAGTTGGTTGTCTGTCAAGTCTGGTTAGTCTAGAGATTGCTGTCCATGTCTCTTTTACTTGCTTTTTGTCCCTCTCCTGAGTTTTGTCCCTCTCCTGAGTTCTCCTGACCAGCTGTGCTCTGATGTTAGCTGTGTGCCTCCACGTGCTGGTAGAGTCCTTTGTTCTCTGCCAGTGGGCTAGCACAACCAGATTCAGGACTGTGTTCTCCTTTCTCCTTTCCTTCCACCCTCTGTTCCCCTAACCCTTGGTTTCCCTTTTCTTTCTTTTTCCTACCTTCCTTCCCTCTCTTCCATTCTGTTTGGTTTTGGGTTTGGTATTTGAAACAGAGTCTTAATATGTAGCCCTCGCTGACCTCATGATCTTCCTGCCTCAGTCTTTCTAATGCTGGAATTACAGATATTCAGTACTCTACCTGCCTTGATTTTTTTTTTTTAAGCTTGAGATAGTGTCTCATATAGCCAGGACTGTCCTCAATTGCTGAGGATGTCCTTAAACTCCTGATCCTCCTGCCTCTATCTCCCAAATGCTGTGATTACAGGCATGGACCACCACACCCAGATTGATTTCCTTTTCTAGAAGTCTTTATTCATTTTAATGTGTATGTTTGTGTGCTATCATGAGTTTATGTGCACCACATTCATGCTGGCACCTACAGAAGTTAGAAAAGGGTGTCAGATCCACTGGAACTGGAGTTACAGGTGGCTGGAGTAGCTATATGAGTTTTGGGAACCAGAACTTCATTCTCTGTGAGAGCAGTAAAGGCTCTTAACTGTGAGCCATTGGTCTGGCTGCCTTGATTTCTTTAACATGACAGTTTCCAGTGTTTCTGTATATTTTGAGATGAGTTCTTGTTGTGTTGCTCAGGCTGATCTTGAACTCCTGTGTTCAAGTGGTCCTTCTGCCCAGCCTGCTGGGACACACGGACTATAAGGGTGTGCTACCATGCCTGATATGAGACATTTTTATAGGTGGTCATGTGTTCTTCCATTAAGGGGCATATAATCACTCTTAAGTTATTAGTAATTATTGATGACTAACCTGTTAATTCCTTTGAAGCTTCAAAAGTTGATTTTCTTTTTTTCTTTTTTCTTTTTTGAGACAGGCTCTTGCTGTGTAGCACAGGCTGACTTCAAACTCAAGATTTTCCTGCCTCAACCTCCCAGTTGTCTAGGATTACAGGTGTTTGCCACCAAACCAGGCTGTACAAGGTGAACGTTACCATTCATGTTCGTTTAATGAAATTTCTGCTTGTTTATTTACTCAGTGGTGTCAATAGGACTCTTTCCTCTTTGTAACAGCTTTCATCAAAGTAATCTCCTGGATCCCTAATACCTGCCAATATTGACTAGTGAGAATTTACTCAATGTTTTCTCTCATTACAAACTCCTTTGCGGCTGCTTTTTCCAGTTGGAACACCGCTGGAAGGCCTCTCTTTAGATAATTGGACCTTCTCCATTTGACCCCTAAAACTTTTTGAAAAATATTCTTGAGAATTTCACACATGAATAATTTGGTTTTTGATCACAGTTACCCCACACCACAGCTAATTCCTCCTGGGTTGCACTCCCAATGTCATGTCCTTTTAATATGTATTGCCCATTTTTTTTTTGTATGTTCACCACATGCTTGAAGGTGCCTGTGGGCAGTGGAAAAAGAAGGTACTAGATTTGCTAGACCTGGAGTTACAGGTATTTGTAAGCTGCCTGATGTGGGTGCTAGGACCTGAACCCAGCCCAGGTCCTTGGCAAGAGCAGCAAGTACTGCTCTTGTTAGAGCTTCGTTCAGCTCTGACCCCCTGAGCCATTTCTCTGCCCTACCTCGACACCACTTTTGCTTTTTGGGACAGGGTTTCTCCATGTAATCTCTGAAGCCTGTCCTGGAACTCGCTCTCTATAGATCAGGCTGGCCTTGAATTCACAGATGTCCGTCTGCCTCTGCCTCCTGGGTGCTGGGATTAAAGGCCCAACACCGCTGAGTTCAGAATTAGTGCTGCCCAAGTGCACTTGGGTGTCATACCATCTTCTGGAACATGGCCAACTACCCAGGGCCGCAGTCCTGAAGAATACTGACTCTCCCTTCCCAGGTAGCTCTTAGCTGACAAAGCTCCTCAGCTAGATTAAACCACTTCTTAGTCCTGATCGTCTCTGATTACTTTTCTGCATGAAAGAATTCTGGACTCATCTTAACTGTTTCCTGCCCCAGCCTGACTCAGCCTTTGCAGAAGGCTTTGTTTCCTTTCGGTAGGGATGATTTTCAGGCATGTGAGTGTCGGGTATTCTCATTGCTAATAGATTGATATTGCTCGGAAGCTTTTCCTGTGGACAGAGCTAGCAACTCTGTAGAAATCATGATAGTGTTTTCCAATTAAATCCAAGTTACATATTTTTCACCTAACCTATCTTTTTTTTTTTTTTCTAAAATTTACGTGTGTGTGTGTGTGTGTGTGTGTGTGTGTGTGTGTTGGGGGTGGCTGTGTGTGTGGCTGTATCTGCTTGTCTGTGTCTGCCACATGTGTACAGGTGTCTGCTGAGGTCAGAAGAGGGTGCCGGATCCTCTGCAGCAGGAGTTCCAGGCTGTTGTGAGCCATCAGACATGGGTGCTGAGAACTGAACTACGCCCTGGAAGCGCAGCAAGCACTCTTAAGCTCTGGGCCATCTCTCCAGCGCCTACCCTTCCTGCTTCTTTCTCTTATCCACAGCTCTTTTTGCTCAGCTCATTACTATTTTGTGAAGACACAGCAAGGTGAAATAATTAGAACTGTCCACATACTTTTTAGTCACACCATATATACCCTCATCCGTGTGGAATTTGGTGTGTTTTGTATACCTAGTGACTGTCCTGTAGTTTTAATGAAAATCAAGTGTTGTTTCCTGGTTGGAACAGCTTTGTAAGAAGTGGCTCTTTAGTCAGAGTTAGTGATAGTAAGTTTATTAGTATCAGCTTACACTTATGCTCCTCAAATCTTCATTATATGCAAATGAAATAATGTACATTTTTTTGTTTTACTTTGTAGGATTTGCCGGAAACTATTTCTTACATAAAAATTCTTACAGTTGGCCATCAGGTACCTGATAATGGCACTATTTTTAAGTTCAAGTGTGCAGTTAAAGAGTTTTTAAAGAAAAACAAAGACAATGGTGAGTCCTTGTGGTTTCTTTTTCTTTTCTGTCTGAACTCTGTTGTGTGTTTCAAATAGCTTTGGAGNTTTTTTTGGTTTTTTGAGACAGGATTTCTCTGTGGTTTTGGAGCCTGTCCTGGAACTAGCTCTTGTAGACCAGGTTGGTCTCGAACTCACAGAGATCCGCCTGCCTCTGCCTCCCGAGTGCTGGGATTAAAGGTATGCGCCACCACCGCCCGGCTAAAAATCTTTTTATTGTAATCATGTGTGTGTGCTTGTTGCTATGTGTATATGAATGCAGGTACTTACAGAGTCCAGAGACTTCAGAATCCCTCCACCTAGAGTTGTGAGCCTTCTGACATAGGTGCTGGAAAACCAAATTTGGGCCCTTTAGGGTAGATTTGTTTTCAAGTACTGAGCCATTTCTCCAGCACAGTTTCCAGACTTTTGATAGTTCAGATTTTTGATATTGTTAACATTCTAATATTAGATATGTTGCCTTTGAAAATGGCAGCTGGTAGTAATAAAGTGTTTTCCCTTTTGTTGGCCACACAGAAACAAAACTTGAGTGAGAAATGTGTAATATAATGAAAGTGTTTACCTTTTCCTGTGGTTAGAGGGTGAGATGTAGAGGATTAAGAATCTTAGGGTCTGCAAGTTACATAGAGACAACAGAAGTCAATGGTTAGGAGTGAGTCAGTTCCCTAGAAGACCAAAGTTAGGAGTGAAGTAGTCTCCAAGAGAACAGAACACGGGCAGGCCAGTAAAATTTCATCTTTGCCACGCGTACTTCAGGTGTTTTCCATTTTGAGTACAATTGTCACTGTTATTAATTATCAAAATGAAGGTGGGATGAAGTCGGTAGCTTAAGTACAGAGCACCTGCCTGGCTTACAAAGCCCAGTTTCAAACTTCAGTGTTTCACACACAGAAACACATTCTAGTTTCCTCTTTATAGTAAGACAAATGGCTTTGTGTAAGGCAGCTTGACCAGATGGCTGCTTCTACAGTTTGCATTATTGTATCTAACCAGTACTTTCAAGATTTCCACAACAATGAGCTTTTGATAGGTGATTCTTGATGATGTGTTTTAAAGCCACTTTTCAACATAGCAGTGATATTTCACTAATTTGTGTTACTCTTCAGAAAATTGTCTTTAACTTACTTTTGGTATATCTTGTTTCCTGTACTTAATTCTGCATTTCCTGTTTTATAGACAAACTTATTGGTGTCCACTGTACCCATGGCTTAAACAGGACTGGCTACCTCATTTGCAGGTGAGTTGCCAACTCAAAAGCAAATAGTGTTTAGTGTGTTTGTCTGGTTACAATGGTAATGTAAGTGTACATAGAAATGAATGAAATAGAGAGCAGTGTTATCTCCACCCAGAGACTACCATTGTAGACTTTACAGATGCAGAGATAGTGCATCTGTATGGCTTAGAGTACAGTAACCATCCAGAGTTACAATTTAATATGTGGTAGGTACCTCCCTGTGAAAGTATTTGGAGACCTTATTTTTTAAAGATTATACTGTTTTTTTTGCACACTGACAAACATGCAAGTCATAAGTTTGGGGTATAATAAAACATCAAAGTGGTATGTGCATCTTTGAATCCACATGCCACTGACTCAACAATAATGTCACATGACATGCAGATGCTGAATTAGGGTGTGATCTGATGGTTCTTAAGGAATTGCTGTGCTGTGCAACATTATGTTTGTCCATTCAGAAGATCTTTGCTGAGATCTAGTTTGTGTGAGCAGTATAGCTGCTGGTAAAGATATTTAATTTGTCTCTGAAGAAAGAAGGAAGACTATAATAATGAAGGTAATATCAAGAAAACTCTAGAACTATCACTGTCAAGTGCTGAGGAAGATAGGAACATGATACCATGATGGGGAGACTTGGACCTAACTCATCAAGAAGATAGTACATTTGTATGGAAGGTTTGAGAGACTATCTGAAGGCGGAACTAGTGCTAGCTGTGTAGAGACACTGAAGAGACTGTAGATGAAGGCTCAGCCGGTAGCCTAGAGTAGTATAGCATACGCTTCTCTGGAGGAGGTTGGTGGGCAGCGCAGCAAGTGCGGCAGGCAGGAGCCAGAGTTAGGCCATATAGAGCAGTGATTTGGTCTGTTTGTTTCTTCTTGTTGTTGTTGAACCTTTTTTGGGTATATTGAATCCATCTATTTTGGCTGAGTAAAGAATGCTCTAGAGAGGTAGAGGCAAGGAGTCATTGGGTTTCTGTTTGAATTGAAGTATACCGGTCTCTTGGACCAAGATGTTGAGGGCATTTTGGTGGAAGGATGTGGTTGTCAGGATCCTGGTGGTAGATTGAAGTGAGGATGAGGTAAGAGTGGGTGACAGTGATGTTAGCTCCTGTTTCTGACCCATCCAATTGGTTTCCCAGTATTTTTAGCTATGTTACTATTTTTCCCAGTTGCTTTATATGTTGTTGGTTCCTGATGAATGCACAGTAATATTAAGGAAGCCTCCTGTTTTTTAGTTCACAAAGCATTTTGATGAAAGTGACTACTGAATCTGCCTTTTAAGCATTTGCCAGTTTGGTCATGAATTTCCTTTATTGTTTATATTATTATACTAATGTAAGTACCTTTATTAATAGATTGTTTTAAAGTTGGTCAATCTTGGGGTAGTCTTTTTCTATGGTCATGGCATGCCATTCTGTAACTGTTGGATTAGATGTGTAGTATTTTCTTAGGATTTATGTCTCCACTTGTAAGTGAAATTGGACCTGTTTTGATTTTTGTTTTCTTTTGGTATATTTAAGTGACCCGACTTATGTTGTTTTGTTAGATATTTGATTGATGTAGAAGGCATGAGGCCAGATGATGCAATTGAATGTAAGTATGGGGGGGGGTGTCACCATTTTTCCCTTCCTATAAAAGCTAAAGGTTGAAGTGTAGAGCCACTTTTCAGTTTTTGGAGAACAAAATGCATATGATCCAATATATGTTGCCAGAAAGACAGTGGAGAGAGAGAAGGGAGGAAACTACCTCTTGGGGCTGGGGATGTGGCTCAATGGTAGAGCACTTGCTCAGCGTGTGTGGAACCCTGAGTTTTATCTCCAGTACCAAAAGAAAGAGAAATAATAGCACTATAAGGTAGTCTTGCCAACAGCTTATGAAGGAACATATCTTCAAGCGATATGTGACATACAGCAGCCTAATGACAGTCAGTGAGTACGAGCGTTGGTTTGCTTTCCTGGGTATGATTTCTTTCTGTGCAACTATTTCTAAGTTCATCTTCATCCACTCCTCAGTATTCAACAGCTGCCGGGGGCACTGCATAGAAAGACAGAACTACATTGAAAACCTGCAGAATCGTCGTGTCAAAAAGTAAGTCTTCCATTTTGCTAAGTGAGACTTTGGTTAGGGAAACTTCTTTAGTATAATTCATGTAGCACGTTATCCAGGCATCTTGTCCACTTGTTGAGCATTAAACAAACAGGAGTAGGGGAGTTGAGGGCCTCTGTTCACACACCAAAGGACATAGTTGCTAAACTGGCCATTGGAACTGTAATCTGGTGACACTGTGGTACACTTCTCTTTTAGGAAGCGGAATACTAGCACATCTAAGTCAGGTGATCTTGAAGACTCAGCAGATCTTGCCGAAGAAGTCCACAGCACTAAGAAGCCTGTGAACCAAGGACCTCGGAACCATTGGCCTACTGGTCATTCAACACCTTCCCGACATTTTCACACCCAGTCCCAGTACTCCCAGCAATTGTTCAGGTACCTGGACTTCCCCCTTTCTTAGAACTGAGATGGAAACTACTTCAGACCAGGAAAGTACATTGTAACAATGACCAGCAGTTGGTATTTTCTTCTATTGTCAGCCAGTAGGGCTCATACTGAATCAAGTACTTGGGAAATGTGCTTCAGAGGCAGTTGAGAATGGAAATTTTATTTTACTATTTTTAAATTTAGCTTAATCCAGGAAGAGTTAGATGTTGTTACTGGGAAATAAAATCTTTCACTTGTGTGTGTGTGTGTGTGTGTGTGTGTGTGTGTGNAGAGAGAGAGAGAGAGAGGAGAGAGAGACTTGTACACAGAATCAGATCCAAGATTTGACACTGAGGTATGTCCCTATATCCTTAGGCTTTATGAATCTTGAATTCTTAGGCTACATAGCTTTTGAAATAAAGAAGGCTATCGTTTAAAGAACAAATACAAAACCAGGCAGGGTAGTCAGTGCCTGTAATCTCAGCACTGGGAAGTAGAGACAGGAAGATGAGGAGTTCATCATTGGCTACATCGTGAGCACAGTCAGCCTAGACTACACAAGACTCTGCAAGACTCTGTCTCAAAGAGAGAAAGAGAACAAGTTTTGAAGGATAATAATGTCCTAATAGAGATAGTTACAAATGATTTGGACAGATTAAATCATACAAGTATTTCCATGGGAAATGGGGAAATTCTTAATTCAGTTAAAATAGTCTATTAGGATTTTCCAGAGAAGTGGAAGAGAGAGAACGGGCAGGTAGATGAGAAGGGACCTTCACTAGGGTGATTGGCATGCACGACTGTAGGATGAAAAGTTCCTCAACAAGCCCTCTGTACGCTGGAGACCCAAGGTTGCCAGTAGTGTGATCCAGACCCAGGGAACTCTGTCAAGAGTCCTAAGGAGAAACCATGAGGGAGGGGGTGGAAGGCCAGGAAAGAGGTAAATTTGCCTTTCCTCTGCCCTTGTAGTTCCCCTGCAGTCCCAGCCAGGTGGTGGTGCCTGTGACATGGAAGGCAGGTCTTCCTTACGCAGTCTGCTCTTTGTACATCAGCCTTTTTCAGAGACATTCTTGTTGACTTATGCAGCACTAATGCCCCACTAACTCTAGTCCAGATGCCACCTAAGATAACTATCACAGCTTGTGTATGCTCCTAGCTGCTAATTTAGTTGTGGTTTTTATGAGCACTTGAGGGTCATGACTATCAGGCTGGGTGTGAATTTGTCTCCTTACTCTACCATTCACACCGTGTGCAATCTTGGGTGAGACCACATCTGTTCTTTGAGATGGAGGTTTTAAAACAACCCATAACTATGGCTGTTGCCTGCTACATCTGTTAAAGCAAATTGGTACATTGTTACACTATCAAAAAGATGTTGCTGGTGACCCTGAGAGTGGGAGTAACCCTTTTGATTCAGTTTTAATGGCCATAAAGATGCTCATACCTGGCCAATTCCATATCATACTGTGACATTTTATAAAGCCATTAAAATTAAAGCTTATTTATAGTAGTAAAATATAGTAGCTGGAGAGATGGCTCAGCAGTTAAGCGTACTGGCTTGCAGAAGACTCAGGTTCGATTCCAAGTACCCACGTGGCTGCTCACAACTTCCTGTAAACAGCAGTCAGAAAGATCAAAAGGTATAGAGACCAAAGAAATAGCTAATCACATTTGACTCTGAGTGTGTGTGTATGTAATGTATGTATAAAGGGCATGCATGTGAGGCCAGAAGATAACCTCCACTATTACCCTTCACACCCCGCCAGTTTTCCTCGAGCTTCCAGGGATCCCCCTGTCTTTGCCCTCATCTCATCATAGGGATTGCAGACACATGCTAGTGTTTCTCAGTTTTCTCTGGGTTCTGGGCATCCAGCCCCGAGTCCTCACACTTGTGTGGCAAGAGCTTTACTTACTGGGCCATCTCCCCAGTCCTAGCTCCATTCTACAAAAAATAGAAAGATAAGTCATTATCTGCTCAAGTCATCTAGGTAGGCAAGAGTAAAATCAGAATATCTGTTATTTTATAAAGTCTATTATAAAATGTTAATCTTGACAATGATTTATTATTTCTTGTTTAAGAAAACACAACCAGAATGCTTACCAGAGAGGCCTTATCCCTCTTCCTGGTCCGGCTGAAGAGTACTATTTACAGAGAAGATTCTTCTGGAACGGGAAGCCAAATGGTAGTCAAGCAACCCAGAATAAGAAGTGGATTTCCGGTAGTTACCAGAGGCAGTTCTACCCAGCCTACTGGGGGTGGACCCAGTGAGGCACACGTGGATGGGCTGTTACAGGGGCCACCTGAAATCAGAGCTGGACAGAGGACAGCTGAATTACTTTTAATAAAATCAGGTCTAGGCAATTAAAAAAAATTTTTAACATTTTTTTAACTTTTTAAAATGTTTTATTATTCCTTTGTGTGTATTAAGTTTAAAGATTTGCTTTACTGATGGCCGCACAGTGAGATGATAGCCTTCTCATTCTAGGCTCAGCTTTTCTCAAAGGTTTCTGAATGGGTAAACTATTATTAATTTGCAAATGTTTTAATTGCCTTTTATTTTCCCTGTCTATTTCCTCTGTCCATGCCTGTAACTGTGCGTAGGTACAAAGGTTCATAGTGTCTTACCCTGTTCTGTTACTAACAGTCTTCAGGGTGTCTTTTTATCCTAACTGTTCAAATTTCCTACTAAAAATCTAGCCAGTAGACAATTTATTTGGCACCTACTCTCTTTTTACTTGTGGGACTCTGTTCAGAGTTCTTTCCTTGGTGATCAGGGTCAGAATTTAACCAACTTCTTACTGAACTGCCAGGTTAACCACCTAACCCAGAGAAGTGTAAATTTTTAGGGACTGACTGTTAAGTTGGGCAAGAGGAAACTAACCAATAACCAGAATGCTGCTTAAATTATAATTTATCTGGCAGAGTCACTACTACCAATAGGGTAGAACTGTCCAGAAAGCTTGAAAACCTCTGTAGATTTTAAAGGTCGAACAGACTAGGACTGAGCATCCTCCTTGGTTATCCTGGAAGACAGGGCCGCTGACCGTGCGGCCGTCTGTTCAGGATTTGTCCAGGGGCCTCCCACACTGCAATGGTGCTCTTCCTCTGGAACACACTTCAAGCTACTTGGAGGTGCTAATTACTTCGTGCTCATCATGACACATCATAGTCCACAGCAAGCGTTTGATGAATGCCTGGGCAATTAATTTGGCTTCTGTCTTTAAAGTCTCTGATTTTGAGGATTTGTAACACTGATGCCACATACGGTAGCTATTTTCTCTGTTGTGTGTGGACATGTGGAGTGTGACCCTGAGGAAGCTTCAGCAGCTCCTCTAGTCTCGCCTAGTGGTACTAATTTGCTCTGTCAGGTTGCTCCACGCTCAAGTGATGGCTCTTAAAGTTTTTCTCTACTTACCACATTTAACAGAGATTCAAAGTGCTTCTTGCTACACGGCTCCGCCTGCAGAATTCTTCCCCAGAATATATCTGAAGGTTCAGCATTGTAAGAAACTGGATCAGGCAATTGTGAAATAAGAGGACAAAGCTGGGGCAGGTAGAGAACATCCAGCTTTGGAGGTGTAGAACAGTTTGGAAAAGCAGCTTCTGTGGAGGACAGTGCCGCCTTCAGAAACTGTTTCTGCCACCTGTCCTGTTTCTCTGCCTTTGGATTACCAACACCTTGTTAAAAGCCTCACTTAACATTGGATTACTCAGCGTTCATTCTTACACACACTGGTCTGGCTTCTGTCCATGTCACACCATCCAAAGGCCTAGTGAAAGGAAGCAACCAGATCTTTTTAAAGTTTCCAGTGGTCTATCTATGTAGTGTTTTAAATTATATTGTTATTTTAAAGGCACACATGAATACTCACTTTCTCAGGTAGCTTTCCTGAGATTACCACGTAAAAAGCATCTTCCATGCTCCTATTATAAAGTCATAGCGGTAGCTAGCTCAAGTATTTTTGCCTTATTCTGTGTCTTCCTCTGTTTATGGAATACTCTTACAGATCAACATTTCTTGATTTCCAACTTGTGATAATATGTGTTATGGCATATGTTCCTATGGCATATGAGCATTTAGCCCTCAGCCTACCCACCCCATAGCTCTTCCCAGCTTTTGATGACATTCACGTTACTAGGTAAATGTTAGTCTGCATGAGCCGTGGTGTTCATGGTTGTGGGTTCAAGTCTCCCCTTTGCTTCACATGTTTACCTCATTTGGCCATTTTTCATTGATATGTCACAAATTCATCCTCTATATCCAGTGGCACTGTAGACAGTCTCTGTGAGTGATGTGCTCTTTGACCCTTTTCCTGAAACTTCTTAAAACGTTTAGGTTAGGTGCCAAGTTTGGTTGGTGGGGCTGCCATCATGGAGTATCAGATGGGCGATGCAGTACGCAGGAGTTCTATTTCTCATAGTCCGGATGCTGGGGAAAATGGAGGAGTCGGCAAGAATTGTTTCCATTGGTCACTGGCTTACTGCATCCCTCCCTCCCTCCCTCCCTCCCTCCCTCCCTCCCTCCCTCCCTCCCTCTATCCTTCCCTCAGGCTCAGATGCGGTGAGGCTGAGATGCTGTGTAGTTCTCTCCTAAAGATGTCAGTCATTAGACCAGGGCTCACCTTAGAGACCTGATTTTAATGTTATTTGCCTCTTTAAAGTCTTGGTCTCCAAATGCAGTGGTGTTTCAGATGCTGGAGCTTAGAGCTTTAACATAGGATCTGAGGAAACAACTGAGTCCAGAGGAAGCGCACTGCCGATTCCTTACACCTGGGACAGCTCCTGACCTGGCTCTTTCCTCTTGTCTTGTTTTCAAACCCTCTTTAAGGCTCCTGGTTCCCAGGGTACGACTTTGATGACTGTAATTTCCCGTTTGGTCAGTTATGTCTTCTCAGGGCTGGGTGGGATGTAAAGGGTCACAGAAATGCATCCGTTTGTCTCTGCTCCTGTACTGCAGTGTCAGGCAGGCACTCCCAGTCCTGCTGTTTGCGACCTCACTGCTGGTTGTTGAAATCTTTTCTGATCTAGAATATTTTTCTGTGCCCTGTAAATGTTTCTCTTGAAGTTTTAGAGTCTTCTATATCTCAGATGTCATCATTTCTATCCACAATGATACATACCAAGTGAATCCTTTCAATCTGGTAAATTGCAAGAAAAAAATTTTTTTGAATATTTATTTATGCTCATTGGTGTTCTGCCTGTGTGTATGTCTGTGTGAGGTTGTCGAATCCTCTGGAGCTGGAGTTACAGACAGTTGTGAGTGGCCGTGTGGATGCTGGGATTCTAACCCAGGTCCTGGAACAGCACTAAGCCACTAAGCCATCTTATTTAATGCTATTTACTAGCATTAATCCCTAATTCTAAGGCAACTTCTAGTTGGATGTTAGATTTCTTTCCTGAGACCTCTGACTTAATTATGTTTTTATTTAACCTTTTCATGTAATTTCTTTTTTTAGTATTTTTCTGATACACTGGGCTATAGGGGTGCTGCGATTGAACCTAGGACCTCGTGCATGCTAGACATGTACTCTGTTGTTGAGTTATACCTCCAGTCCCCTTCTGATCTATATATTTATATGATTTATATAAACATAATAAAAATATAAAGATTTTCTGATATATAAATATATTATCTATATGCTTAAAAAAAGCAGACACAGGATCTCAGCATGTTGCCCATGCTGGCCTTGAACTCCAAGACTCAAGCAATCCTCCTGCCCTAGTTCTCCTGAGTAGGGGGGACTCCAGGTACAGGTTCCCGTGCCAAGCTCTAAATTTTAATTTCTAAAAGTTAATGCCTTAAAAAAAAAAGAAAAAAACAACCCTACATTTTAATCTAGACTGTTACATCTTTAGTACACTCACATTAGGAGGGATCACACATGGGATCCTAATCAAACGTCCTTTCTAGTACCACCAATAGTTGATCACACATGGAATCCTAATCAAACGTCCTTTCTAGTACCACTAATAGTTGATCACCCATGGGATCCTAATCAAACATCCTTTCTAGTACCACTAATAGTTGCCCAGAATTGTGTCCTGAAAACAAGTGCTTATGTGTCCCTTTCCTCTTGGAAGTGTCAAATGGCTTATGGCATTGGGGTTCCATGTTCCTCTCCCTGCCAAGGCTTTTTGTATCTGTCCGCAAGCTGACTTTTCAAGTCCTTCATTGTGTATTGTAGACCCCTTTATCTGAATGCTAGCCATTTTGTGGTTATACTAGGCCATACACTTTGTCTTGTCTTTAAAGTTGTTTGGGTGTGATCTGTCCTGTGGTCTCCGAGCTAGCCACATCAGCTGTATGAACCACTCTCTAGTCTTTTCCCCCAACCCTGCCCCCAATGATCTCTTTCTACACACTGTACCTTGTGTCATTATTTATGTATCATGCTACTCCAGATTCTGTGCCACCATGTCAGAGTCCTTGAACCCATCCTGTATGACAGTTCTTTTTCCAAGGGAGGTTATACCCTCTTTTGCCTTCCCTGTACTCTGGAGGCAGAGAAGGGCAGATCTTTGAATTCAAGGGCAGCCTGCTCTACAGAGTGTGTTCCATCCAGGACAGTCAGAGCTACACAGAAGAAACCCTGTCTTGAAAAACAAAACCAAAGATTCCTAAGCCAGTTAAGACACTTGACTCTGGACCTACATGGTACATCTAGTTCCACACCAGGTCTTTTTTTATGACCCCACTTTCAATAAGGGGGAATGGTACACAATAGGCCATGGGATCAGGCTTACTTGTCCTGTTGTGGATTACTTGCATAGTGTCATTTAAAGAGCCTTCCAGAGAAAGTCTGGACTAGGAATACCATGCCAGGTTACCTGCTCTCTTCTTGGCTTCCTAAAGCTGCCCAACACATTATATCACATGGCTTTGTTCCCTACTTCAGACCTTTTCCTCACCACTCGTATATGTACCCCAAAGAAAATACCAGTGACCTAAATTCTTGCCTCGGGGTCTGCCTTCTAGAAGATCTCAGGTGTTTATAGATCCCGCAGTCATGAACTCTTAAATTGTTTAACACATGATTGATAGATACACCTGGTCTCTTCTACTGACGACTTACTACAAATACTTGAGTCATTTGAGAACACCAATATCAGTTACATTGAAGGTAACAATTTATCAATAACTTTTTGTTCAGGCTTATATTTGCATGGCATGGGGATTAAGATTATATTCAATTTAAGGCGGTGGTGGCGCACGCCTTTAATCCCAGCACTCGGGAGGCAGAGGCAGGAGGATCTCTTTGAGTTCGAGGCCAGCCTGGTCTAGTTCCAGGACAGGCACCAAAAACTACAGAGAAACCCTTTCTCGAAAAAAAAAAAAAAAAAAAAGAAAAGTCGTGAGGAGTTTACGCAAGTTCATCTCACAGTATAACACTCTGCCAAGCCTTTTGAACCATCTTGTGCATGCTATATAATGGTTTCTCGCATCTGAAGGAAGCCGGGTCATAGCTCTGAGATGACTTTAAAAAGAAAACTAAAATGCATCTCTTTCTATATACACTTCAGTGCTCCCAACAAAGGAAAATCCAGCAGCCCCAAACTCCATCCTCCCAGTTCCTAGTTTCCTCCCATCCACCCAGCCCCTGGCAACTGCTTATCTAGTTTCTTTATCTTTTCTAAAATGCTGTGCAGTTGGAATTAGTGTGTAGACCTCTGGGTAGGGTTTCTTTCATTTAGATGTTGCTTTCGAGGTTGTGCTACAGAATGGATTGGCTGGTCACTCTTGCTAAGTTATTCCATTGTATAGTTGTCTTGCGCATTGCTTATTCACTGACCAACTAAAAGATACTTAAGGTCTAATGTTTTTTATTTTAAACTTGTCATAAACATTTTATGTATACAATTTTTGGGGTTTGGTTTTTCGAGACAGGGTTTCTGTGTAGCTTTGGTGCCTGTCCTGGCACGAACTCTTGTAGACCAGGCTGGCATCGAACTCACAGAGATCATCTGCCTCTGCCTCCCCGGTGCTGGGATTAAAGGCATGTGCCACCACTGCCCAACTCTGTATAGGGTTTTATGTGAACAACTTTTCTTTCCCTTGGAGTGTGATAGTGGGATTGCTGCCATGTATGTTTAACTTTATAATAAACTAAGACTTTCCAAAAACAGATGTACTATTCTGTATCCCACCAAGAAGATGTGAGTGTCCCAATTACACCCTCACTAACAATTAGTATCGTCAGTATGTGCGTAGGGCAAGGACAACTCTGAGGTTTGTTCCTCAGAGGCACTGTCTGCTGTTCCTCAGAGATATGTCCACTTTGGGTTTGGTTTGGGTTTTTTTGTTTTGTTTTTTGGTTGTTGGAGGCAGGGTTTCTTTGTGTAGCACTGATTGTTCTGGAACTCTATGTAGACCAGGCTGGCCTCAAACTCACAGAGATCCACCTGCGTCTGCCTCTGCCTCCTGAGTCCTGGGGATAAAGGCGTGTATCACCACCACCCGGCTTTTTTTGTTTGTTTGTTTGTTTGTTTTTAAGATGGTGTTTCATTGGCATAGAGCTTCCCAGAGATCCACCTGTCCCCACTTCTCCATCCCCTTAAGCACTGAGCAATTTTAGCAATTTTGATTTTTAAAAAATGTGTTGTCTCACTGTATTTTTTTTTATTTATTTTGCATAAAGTGTTCTGTCTGCTTCTATCCTTGCAGTCCAGAAGAGGGCACCAGATCTCACTATAGATGGTTGTGAGCCACCATGTCGTTGCTGGGAATTGAACTCTGAACCTTTAGAAGAGCAGTCAGTGCTCTTAACTACCCCTGCCTCAGTGTGTTTTTTAAAAATAATTTGAAAGATACAATTGGCATTCATTATACATGTTTAAAATTGCTTTGGTGTATCTGTACGCGTATCTATATTTGAGACCACAATGAACCTAGAACATATCTGTAACCTTTTCCAAAGAATTGCCTATCTGAAATGGCCTTATAAATTTGTTTTATGTAAATAGAATCAATGTGAACTCTTCATATGTCTGGATGCTGGTCATTCAACATCATTGGGTTTATCCCTGTCACAGAATGAAGCAGTACTGTAGCAGCCTGGGGTGCCAGAACAGTCTAACTTCTGGTCCAGACTTCCTCAGTAACAGAAGGCCCTTTACTATATTGGCCCCACGGATCATATTGCCATATACACCAATTATAAAAACCCAGCGTGTGTTTTCTGGGTCTCCTTGGCTACAGTGGAAGTGGAGCAAATGTAGACAAGGTTTCTTCCACTTTGGGCAGCTTTGCTGAGTCTTGGGAGGGCAGCTCACCAATGGACTCCAGGCCTGTGGCACGTCTGCTTGTTTGTAAATATATGGGGATATTCTGTACTCTATTCTGTTCTCTAGACCTAGACAACTCAGTAGCCAGCGCAGTGAACTTGCTTTGCACAAGCTTTGCCTTGGGGTGTTTTCACTTTGTGAAGCCAGAGGACGGCTTCAGACAGCATTCCTCGAGAACCACTCATCCTTTGTTTCTCCCTGCCTCTCCCTCCACGTGTTGGGATTGAAGGTGTGGACACCCAGTCCAGTCTATCTCTTTTTGAGACACGTCTTGAAGTAATTTGGAATTTTATCAAGTGCTGGGTGGTGGTAGCGCAGGCCTTTCTTTAATCCCAGCACTCAGGAGAAAGAGGCAGGAGGATCTCTGTGAGTTTGAGGCCAGCCTGGTCTACAAGAGCTAGTTCCAGGACAGGCTCCAAAGCTACAGAGAAACCCTGTCTCAAAAAACAAGCAAAAAGAAAAAAAAAACACAACAACAACAAAAAACTTATCAGGTAAGCTAGGCCAGTTGGCCTGTGAGCTGGGTGATGCCACTGTTTCTGCCTCCCTTGAGCTGGGGTTACAACGCCACACAGAGCTTTTTTTTTTTTAAGTGTGGGATTTTTTTATTTTAAGTTGTATCTAGAGATACAACCCAGTTTTCCAACTTGCAAGGCAAGAACGTTCTCAGTTGGGTTATATCCCAGTGCTCACTTCATTTTTTTAAGGCAGTGTACTCTTGTAAAGTGCTTGTGTCGTTTTACATACAGAAAACTTTGTTTTTGAGACGGGATTCTCTGGCTATCTGGTTTCTCTGGATTTCTGACTGTCCTGGAACTTGCTCTGTAGACTAGGCTGGCCTCAAACTCACAGAGATCTGCCTGGCTCTGCCTCTTGAGTGCTGGGATTCTTAAACTGTCGTCTCAAGTGCTGCTCTCCCAGATACACGCAGGATTTCCTTTTCGACCTTCTCCAGTCACTGATTCAAGCTGGGCTTTTGATGTCCTTTCTTCATTATCCTAAATAGAAGAGTAACGGCAGCAGCCTAGCATTCCTCCGCTTCCACTTGTCTTCATTGCACACATCACTATACACCTTCCATGCTAAGAAAACTATAAAGATAAACTCCAAACAAGGGAAATGGAAAACAAGTTATGGCACGTTTAGTCTAGCTGGAAGGCTCAGGGATTACACATGACCTTCCTCAACTACTCTAGATAAAGAGATCATACTTCATGTTAAGTTTTGGAAGCAAAACACTGAGGGCTGTGGTGTCCAGGGATGCTCCCTGTGACTGCCGGAACAGCAGGGTCCCCATAGTGGGGTCTCTAGGAGTGGAAAGGTGTGCTCGCTTCATTAGGAATAATACTTTTCTTATCACAGGAAGGAAGTGGGGGACACCTCTCGAAAGCCACAACATAGACCTTTAGTTGACATCAATTTCCAGCCTCCACCCATGGCATGGATCCCTCCCACAGGAAGGTTCGGTCAAGACTGCTTCCCTTCGCATCCGCATGCTGCCCTCACATGGGCGAGGAGTCTGCAGATGCACACTCAAGATCATCACCCGCTTTACTTGGGTGGAGATCGGGCACTTCTGAAGTGGCGAGCTTTGTTTCCGAGGGGATGGTCTTCCTGAACGGACGGGAAACTGATAGTGAGTTGCGCCAGCGCGAAGGGCAGTTCCTTCTGCTCAGCCACATCGTTGTTGGCGTTCTGTGCTTCTTCCCTCAGCAGTTTGTCGCGATCCCTCCATGGTTCCTGGTGGAGAGTTTTGTGACATCAAGGCGGGAGAGGACTCAGGCAGGGTCTAGACGCTATCTGCGGGACCCTGTGCCATAAAGTTAGGGCTTTCGCTTCAGCGCTGATTCCTCCTCCTGTTGCTAATAATACCTTGCCGGGCGAGGTGTTTTGGGAGTTCTTATGTGCTTTGTTTTGTTTTGAACGGCTTCTTTTGGTTAGGGATTTTGGTCGGAGTCTCTGGGACTAAATTAGCAAGAGATATTGATAACGTTCGACGTGGTGAGAAGTGGGAGCTGTATCTAACTATTTTAAGGTTTTCTTAAATGGTTACACTATCTCGAGCATGCCAAGGGTTCTTCTCTCCATTGTTAAAAACAAAACAAAGCCAAGAAGTTGGGGGGAGAGGAGGATACAACACATTTTTTCAACCTGTTGGAAAGATTTTGTTTTCTAAGCCGGGCAGTGGTGGCGCACGCCTTTAATCCCAGCACTTGGGAGGCAGAGGCAGGCGGATCTCTGAGTTTGAGGCTAGTGCCAGGACAGGCTCCTAAACTACAGTGTTGAAAAACAGTACAATGACCAGATTGTAGATCACAAAGTACTTTAAGAGGACAGCAATAATCTCAGTAAACAACAGTAAGCTGCCAGGATACACCCTCTGTAACTGACACAATGTTGACCACAGCTTTCTGTGCCCTCTTATTTGACATTAGCAAGAAAAAAGAATGTGTATCAAGAAACTATTCTCCCAACCCTTTAAAAACAAACAAACTGCTTACACAATTCCAGAAAATCAGAAATGAAATTTAACTTTGTGGTATTTGTTCTTTTCAATGCTTTTTCTATATGTTGAGGCTTTTTAAAAACCTGTTAGTGCTGCATACCTCTAATCCCAAGCCCTTGTGGGGGAAGAGCAAGAGTCTGTGAATCACGATGAAACCTTCCAGAAACCCAAATAATTACAACAACAACAACAACAATAAGAGTTGACACTTTGGGTTCATCTTTCAGTGACCAAGAACTTTCTTTTTTGCTGAAAAAAAAAATCCTCTCTGTTTTGCAAAATAAAAACTCCACGGTTTAGTCGAGTCTCCCCTGCTTTGCTCTCAGATGATGTAACCTGTCCTTGCTCTTTCCATTGCTGTCAGCATCACAGCTGTTTTCTGGGGAGGGAAGGCAGTGCTGGGGAGGGAAGCCAGGGTTTTCTGTTGAGTCATACCCAGAGCCAAGAGTGAGCTCAGATGCTCTGCTGTAGGCTGTGAAGTGTCCTGTTTATCCCTAGCTGACTGGTGCTGACCCTGGTCATTTCTGTACTGAATGCCTTTAAGTGGTACAGATGTCCCTGTCTGGCCTGTGTCCTAATGGACTGGACAGGGCACACGAATCTTCCTCACACAGTGTTGGTGTCTCTTCAGTCTATACTGAACAAGGCTCCCTTGCAAACAATAACCCAACTAGGTCCACAGTCTCTTGGACAAACAAGACGTTTAAGCAATTAGGGAACAGAGTACTTCTTTCTCAATGTGCCTAACTCTCATCTATTGAGAGGTTTTGTCTTGGGACCTCAGACTGACTGATTTTCAAGACATCTTGTTGGCCTGGGGCTTCTGCAGCATGCCACCTGCACACCTGTTTAGCCAGCACCACCCATGTGTCCCCACTACTACACTTGTCACTTTGCTTCCCTGCTGACATGCATCCTCATGGCCTCACGTGCATCTGGAATGGGATATCTGCATTACTTGACTGTGTTCTGGGTCCTGTATAGCCAGGTCTCTGCTGGTGTTAGACACATGTGCCTTTAAGGACCCTCTTCCCAAGGGCTGTCTCAGGAGCTTCCCTGCCTCTATCCCCTCCCTGCTCAGGAGATGAACCTTTTCTGAAGTGATGGCTCTGCTCTGGCATCCTTCTGAGAAGCCTCACTGTGCTGACATCCCAGCATCTTCTCCACTGGACCTTGCCACAGTTCAGAGAGTGTCCCATTCTCCCCTGCCTATAGCAGAGATAGGCACAATGACTAGCATCCTGTTCCTTGTCCCCTAAATACTTCGTCCTAAAACTGTCTCAAAGTAAGACTCTGCCATAGATAGCCTCCTCTCTGCCTCGCAGAGAGCTTGCTTGTCACAGTAGGCCTGGAGAAAATGGGGCCAGTACAGCTCTCACTGGCCTTGAGGTCAAGGTTGGAGGCAGAGGCAGAAAACACCTTCCACTGGGACACACTGTAGAGACAGATGTCACTCTCAGTTGTGGGGAAGCAACACCTCGGCTCACGCATGTGGGAAGCATGATGTTTAAGCTCTGAGAAGGGCCCTGAACTCAGGCAGCTGTGCCCTGTCTAGTGCCCACCATCTGGATGGCACCATAGCTGGGGCTAAAAAGGACACTAGTGCTGACTGAGGCTGGTGGTGAGGAGCAGAGGCAGAAGGGCAGTGTGGGGACCCCTAGGATTTATTTTACAGGACCAGGCACAGCATAGACAAGGAAAAGTCCAGCTATAGGACCTGTTGCTGTGGCAGGACATGGGAGCCCAGTGTGTGTGTGTGTCCCAACACCAGGCTGCTCTGAGCAGTTATGTGCAGGGCCAGAGATAGCTGCAGTCTGGAGTGAACAGTGCAGGTGACAGGCCTTCCATGGGGGTGAAAATTGTTGAGTATCCACTTTCTACTGTGCTCTACAAATTATTAACCCAGAGTTCACAAGGTGAATGGGGGTGGCCTCCCTCCTGTCACTGGAGAACTCTGTGACTCTGGGCTTTATGATTAACAAATATTCAGGAGCCAACCAGTGAGGTGCCAACTCAGGTCTGCTCACCAGTTGTTAGGCAGACCCAGGCTATCTGTACTGCATGCGACCAGAGGCTGATGCCCTTCCAGACACTCTTGGTTGTGCAGTAGCAGGTAAGACTGGCAGCTCTGTGGGGAGGGTCTCAGCGTGGGACTGCAGCCCTAGAACTGCCTGAGGGCCCAAGGATAAGGGTTTGCAGCAGTGGGTGGTTTTGTTTGTTGATATTTGCCAGCTCTGTAATCTAAAGTTGTACAATCCTTGGGAAGGAGATCTGCAGGAAAACACCTGGAAACACAATGCCTGTAATGCACAGTCTGCAGACAGTGACCTAATGGGTGCATGGGGTCCTTCTGCAGCACTGGGCTTGTTTATGTACCCAGAGCTGCAGAAGGCTTCTAGTAGGGTGAGAAGGATGGAGTCAGGTGTTGCTGGATAGACCTTCTCCCAGTGTTTGTGTCTGTTTCCTGTCTGGTGACAGCAGAAAGATACACCCTTGAAGAGAGGCTAAATGTGTCTTGGGAGGTTGGGAGGCAGAAGGTCAGGGGACTTACATGGTTTCTCTCCTCTTCAGGACTCAGGGAAAGTGCCAGGCAGGTATACCTGTCTCTCCCGGATGCCAAGATTTGAGACCCAGAAATCTCCCATGGCTTCTTATCACATCCGCCAGTACCAGAACAGAGACTATAAACGTGTCCTGGATTTGTTCATAAGTGGTATGGAGGAGTACATCCCTGCCACCTTCCGCCACCTGCTGACTCTGCCCCGGACCCACCTGCTATTACTTGGGGTGCCGCTTGCTGTGGTCCTGGTGTCTGGCTCCTGGCTGCTAGCTGCTATGAGCATCTTGTTTGTGCTCCTTCTGCTGAAGCTCCTTGCCAGACATCCCTGGAAGGAGTATGTGGCCAAGTGTTTGCACACAGACATGATTGACATCACCAAGTCCTACATGAATGCCTGTGGCTCTTTCTGGGTTGCTGAGTCTGTTGGATAGGTGGTGGGCATCGTGGGCTGTCTGCCAGTCAAGGATCCCCCATTAGGGAGGAAGCAGATGGAGCTCTTTCACCTATCTGTGTCGTCACAGCACCGTGGACAGGGGATTGCGAAAGCACTGGTTAGAACTGTCCTCCAGTTTGCACGGGGCCATGGTTACAGTGATGTTGTTCTTGGGACCAGTGTCTTGCAGCGAAGCGCTATGGCCCTCTACCTGAGTATGGGCTTCAGGAGAACAGATCGGTACTTCTTGAGTATGTACTGGAGGTTAGTAGATAACCCTACATTTCAATTAAAGTATTCCCTCCCTTCTGCCTAGTAAGTGGGACTGAGACCTTAGCTCCTGTGCAGCAAACAGGCCCTGCTTCATGTTCCAGGAACCAGTGAACCCTGTCATGTCAGTGTAATGAACAATAAAATGTCCTTGATGGTGCACACCAGATTCTAATGCATGTGATTGCTGTATTGGGGGTTTTGAGGGTTCTAACACACTCTTGGTTTCTACGGTGCCTGTGTTTCATACACCTAGCTCCATATTAATGATGCATTATGGACAATGTAAAATACTAATGCTTGTATTTCACTTTTGAGTTTGTGGACCAGAAGTTTCCATGGGTTTGGAAGGGGCTGCTCACCTAGCCTCCGCACACATGTGGGGGCATCTAAGGTGGCTGAAAGTGCCAGACATCTGTGTGCTGTCCTGTCCCAGAAGGTCAGCTGGGCAAGGTCAGGGTCTTGGCAGAGCAGGCATGCTAAGGCGAGGCAGAAACAAATGAAGGATTTCCAAGCACTGCAGGTGTCAGCTGAGGACATGCTAGACTCGGGGACAAATGGAGTCTGTGCTTATAAGATTTGCAGGGTCCCAGACCAGAAGCTAGGCATGGAACTGAGAGAAGACACAACAGATATTTTGTCATGGCAGGGTGAGAAGTTGGCTAGGACAGCTGAGGACTGCTTCTATGGGGGAAGACCGGGATGTAACTGACACCTCATGGTGGCCAGGCTTGTAGAGCTGTTGTGGGCAGTCTCACGGGGCAGCACCACTTTAGGGAGGCCAAGCATACAGCCCTGCACTTCCAAGCGGATATGGGGATGGAAGCACCCTACATCTGCGCACTCCTGGTATCTAGGCTGGACCCAGTCAGAGTTCAAAGGGCCAGGGATTCCAGAGACTCAGATGCCTGCTTGTGCCATCTTACCACCCTGATACAGGCTGAGCTAGGATGTGGCTGAGCTTATACATGCAAGGCTGTGGCTCTTTCATCTAGTTCATCTGTAACACTGCGGTGTTAGAGATGCGGGTGGGGTATCTTGCCATGTCTCCCAGCCTAGGCTAGAGACTGCTGATCACAGAGCTCCCAGCACTCGTGAGCCAGTAAATTGTGTCACTGGGCAATACTGAGGCTGCTTTTTCATCCTGGCATTACTACCAATAACAGCTAAACTCCAGAAGAGTCAGCCAAATCAAGCCTGCCCTGGTCTGCTGGCAAATCTCGTCATGGACCAATTTCAACTACACAGAGACCCCTGGCTATGTTACTCCAAACACTGGTGACTTGATTACTGGGGTTTTATGCCTCACTCTTTCTTGCTACATGGCTCTCCTTGACTCTGTCTTGATGGTCACCACAGTAGGAATTCTGTCCATCTTCACCCTGGACAGCCTCCTTGGGCTTCTGGGAGATCTTCTATATTACCCAATGACCACCAGTATCCACAAGAGGGGTCTGCACGCCCCTGAGCTAAAGTTCCAGTGTACAATCGATGTGGTCCCTTGTGAGCGCCCTTGAGGCAGGATGCTGAGACCATGCAGCATCTCTCTATCATAGCTGGAAGAGAATCAAGACTTCTTTCCTTTGGTACAATCCTGGGCCAGTTTCAATTGCTCTGCATCACCTTCTGCCCCCTGCATAGTCAGGTGCACTGAGAAGGGGATTCTGGGTATGGGGTACCTAGAGAACAACCCAGAACTGAACTGTGAGAGGCCACTATGGCTTTGAAGTTCAAGAGGGGAACAAAAGGTGGAACTGACCGCATGTGGGAAGAACATGGAGTCACCGTTTTTGAAGCTGTTTGAATGAAATGAGGTGAATAGTATCTGCCACTTCCATGTATTTGATTTTAAGTTACTATGCCATTCCCAGAGCTCCGTTCAGTTATGTAACAACCTAAAAGCCCAGGCCAGAAGGCCTCCAGCAGACAGTCTCCTAGACCCCTGCTGGGGTTTTTCTTCGGATCCCAGTGCCATGGAGATAAGAGCCAGTGAGCTTTGGACTGGCTGTCACTGTGGCCTAACCAACCCCCAGTCCATAGACCACGCCTCCACTCCAGCACCACACACTACCTGATCAAATCAGGTTTACTGGACAGAGGCCTGTACTCAGTGCCAGCTGTCAAACTACAAGGGTGGTGTTGAGTAAGTGCAGCAGAAGCCAGACAGCCTTTGAGGAGGAAAGAACACAAGGCTGTGCTAACCTTTGACCAAGCCTAAGTGAAAGAAAAAGGAAACCATCAAATATTGTTAAATACTAGTTACATGATTCTGAGACTTAGTTAATATTGCTATACTGTTTTACTTGTAGTGCACTAAGACAAAAACACCTAAGATTGTTATGAGAAGGGGTTTATTTATTTGAGATAGAATTTGACATGGTACTATAGGCTGTTCTGGAACTTGTGGCATATCTCCGTCTGACCACAAACTTGTGGCTTTCTCCTGACTCAGCCTCCTGAGTTCCTGGGATGGAGGATGGAGTCCCACACCAGGTTTAGAGGTAGAGAAATTCTTACACATAAAATACCAAGGATCCAGAAGCTGAGAGGAGCCACGTGGACAAACCAGCAGTCCAAGGGGAGATGCAAACTGATGGATGACTCACTGAGCAAGAACCATGGACACTGTAGCCGTAATTAGGTGCTTACACTTTTTATTTCAATTGTATAAAAATAAATACATTCAAGTACAAACAGAAGACTAGAAGACAATGCCAAATACCACAACAGGAATTATCTCTAAGACGTGAAAAAAGGGGCTGATGTGGTTTCTTTTTCCCCTTTCAGTGATGAATATGTTAATTTCATAACCAGGAAAGAACAGCTAGTGGTTAACTCTGAGACCGTATCTTAGTATTTTGGGGCATCTTACAAAACATCCTTTGTTGACATCCTACAAATGATAGCATCCAATAACGTCCCAATGCTCTCTTCTTGTGGTGACAGTTTGTATGCCTGTAAAGTGAATGACAATCTGTGAGTGCTGGCATGTCCAGTCACTGTTATTACACACATTTATATGTGGCATTATCACTTTATTATGGCATTAATGATTTGAAATTACATATATGTTTAAAATGTTCAAAATAGGTGGTAATTAGTCACTCATATCAAATATCCTTTTTAAAAGTTGTAGTTATTAATATAAAAAGCAAATCTCCTGAACACACAAATCAGACATGCCTTCACTCACATGTGTGGGGGTGGGGATCATCCCTATGAGGATTTCAAACCATGGCTTTTTCTATACCCTGGGTGTGTGAGTGAGCAGGTGTCCACGTCCACTGCTCTACCAGGTTACAGCAGCTTCTGGTACTGACTATAAACACACATTCCATCTCTCGTTTAGAGGGAGAGTGACACAAAATGCATCTACACCTCACACTTTTATCACGTGGGCTCTGCCAGTTTCTTAGGCAAAAATGCTCCAGGGGTCTACTTAAGACAACGTGGGCAGGGCAGAAATACCAAGCTCATGTAGTTTAAACTTTGGTGAACAGGTAACTGACTCCACACTGGCTGCCGCAGTAAGTGGCAGGCAGCCTCCACCTCTCTACATAACTACCCTGGCTCAGTGCTAACATCTGTCTTGTAGGACTCTGACCCCGGAGCTACACTGCTACCATGACGAGAAAACAGAAATAAAGAGTCACCACTTTACGTTGTTATTAGGGGAGAGGTTGAAGATAATTTCAGTGGACAGAGTTCTTGTCTTCATTTTTCCCAGCTTGTGGAGATGAACAGCTTTGTTTGCTGCCACCAGTATCTGAAATGGATCGACAATCTACCAGAGAGAAAACAAGGATTAGCACAGAGAATCCGCAGCTTCCTGCACCATGTGTCCTGTCTGAGGAAACTCTAGTCCAGCCATTCAGTGATCACCATTCTTATGGTCTGTATTTAAAAAAGCTGTTGTAACACACACAAACACACAGACACACAGAGAAAGCTTGTGTGTAGCAGGAGCCCCAGCCAATCACCTTATTTGAAGGGCGGGTACCCTTTAGGCGAATGTTTACCTATAAATCTGGCGGGTGTGCTTCCCACCTTCCCTTTTTTATCTCCTGCTCGTCACTGGAACCCTGGTTTTGTAAGCTCTCCCCTTCTTCCCCTTAATAAAGCTGATATTAAAGCTAGCCTGGTTATTCCTATTTGCCGGTCGTTTACGCCCCTTCACTTGTGTAAAATACAAAACTTCAAAGCTGAAAGATTATTGAAGCCTAATACAGAACAGGCCCAATCCTAAACTTCACAGTATTCAATGAAATCAGTGTACTTGTGTAACAGATGAGGTCACCAAGGCAAAGATGCCTGGGGGTGGGTGCAGAGTCGTGGCTGGGTGAGGTGTTCAATCCCAGGCCTGTTGTTACCATGTGGGAATCAGGCAGTTGGTACCTGTCTTACATAGCAGAGGAAAACAATGCAGTTATCTCTGTGAAGGAAACTGACGATCATGTTAGGGTATGCACCACGGACACAACAGTGTACATCTTTACGTGCCAAACAAGGATGGCTGTGTCTTTCTCAGTCACAGTAGGAAGCTCCGGTCTTAATGTGTGCTTTTAACCACTCTGCCATTGTGCTGGTTGGAATGAGAATGGTTCCCGTAGGCTTCTATACTTGAATATTTGGTTCTCATTGGTGGATTGTTCAGGATGGACTGGGGGTGCACTGGCTAGTTTTATGTCAACCTGACACAAGCTGGAGTCACTGGAGAGGAGGGGGCCTCAATTGAGAAAATGTCTCAGTAAGATCAGGCTATTGGCAGATGTTTTCATAACTAGTTGTTGATGTCCAGCTCACGGTGGGTGGTAGCACCCCAGGGCAGGTGCTCCTGGGTTACATAAGAAAGCAGGCTGAGAAAGTCATGGGAAACCAGTGGTAAGCAGCACCCCTCCAAGGCCTCTGTGTCAGCTCCTGCCTCCAGGATCCAGCCCTTTGAGTTCCTGTCTGAAGTCCTTTGACAATGAACAGTAATGGAAATGTAAGTCAAATAAACCCTCTCCTCCCCATGCTGCTTTGGTCATGGTGTTTTATTGCAGCAGGTGTAACCTAACTAGGAAGAAGCTGGTAGCAGGATGGTGGAGTTTGCTGCCACAGACCTGACCGTGTTGTTGTGGGGAGGATTGGACAAAGACTTTCTAACTGTGGCCTAGAAAATCCACCAAGAGGTAAAAGCTCATTGCGCTGTTCTGTGGGATCTTAGGAGAGAAGTTGAGAGCAATACAGATGATGGAGGCCCGGCTTGTGAAGTTTCAGAGGAAGCAAAGGCTCTACAGGACCTTCTGCATGGAAACTCTGTGGTATCTGGAAGCTGGGACTGAGGAGTCAGCCGTGATTAAGAGATCAGCACTACTAAAGAAACCTCTGAGGCACTGGGACGATGGATGCTGGTTGGCTGGAAAGGAGAAATTCGCAGTGATTAAGAAGAGACCAGTATTACTGAGCCCTTCAGACTCTATGTTTTAAACTTAAAACACCAAGTGTGACTAGAGCCAATATTTTCTACCTCAATATAAGAGAAATTTAAGGTAAAATTACATATTCTTAAATGCCTGGCATGGTTAATTCATTCTCATATTTTGTACTTACCACATGAGGGTTTATCAATGAGCCACTGAGAGATCCTTCCATGGCCTTTTTTCTCAAGTCCCCTGCATTTTTTACATCTTTAAATAACAGAAGGGTCACTCTGCATTCAGGAAACAGGTCCAACTGCTGAGATAACTGCATTTCCTAGACAACGAGGACGCTACTGGACAAAAGGAAAAGACCACAGCAGGTTGTTACATGTCGAAGATAGCATCCATCCTCCACACTGGTTTCCTCTCTGCGTCTCTCTCCTGACAGTCTCGCCGTCCTAGACTTGCTCTGTACCTCCATCTCCTGCCCCCATTCCCCAGAATCTAGAAATGCTTGTGAAAATACACTCATCTGTAACCAACTTAACAAAATCCTTGCACTCTACTTTGCTGATTCTGTCCCAGCTTCATTTCTGCTGCCGTCATGAAACATTCTGACCAGAAGCGGCTGAGGTAGGAAAGGATTTATTGGGCTTACACGTCCAGGAACCCAAAGGCAGACACCAGAGGAACACTGCTGCTGACTCAGTCACCAGCTGCTGCTTAATTTGCTCTTTTAATGCGGTCCAGGACCTCGTGCCCGGGGATTGTGCTGCCCTCAGTGGGCTAGGCCCTTCTACATCACAAGAGTCAAGGCAGTCCACCATGACAGGTCATCAGACCAGTGTGAGCTGCACAATCCCTCAGCTGAGACTTCCTTCTCAGGAGACTCTGAAGGCTATTGTCAAGCTGGCGGTTAGAGTAACAAGATAATCTTATAAACTACACAACTGTTAACATAAAAAAATGTCCAGTGAGGTCCAGTACAGTCAGAGCTGCACAGTGAGATCCTGTCACACAAAAAAAAAAAAAAAAGCAAAACTACAATGAGCATCTAGAATAAAACCCAAAAATATAAATACTACTACCTTTGAAAAGCCTGAATTTTTGGCTATAGAGATGAGTTAGCCAACATATCTAAGCCCACAACTAAAACAACAAAACCTAAAATGTTACTTCTGTGTTATACTAAACGGTGGACTTCCTGAAGGAGCTTTCTGGTGCTGAGCACAGAACAGCTAGTTAACAGTACTTGACAGTTTCTAGTATTTGCTAACAGAAACCACTTCTAAAAGTTACCCTGTCACTTTCTGAAAAGCAAACAACCATATATATTGAATGCAAAACTTCTTAAACTAAACACAATTTTGCACTATTACACGTGCTGATTAAGTGGGTCATAGTTAACTTTGGCACCCGATTCCTAATACCATGTCCCTAGTTACTTTGGGGGCAGTCCTGGAATGTCCTCCTCAACATCCCAGTTTGTTCCAGTTTCTGACTCCTTCCTCCCTGCAAACAAAATGGCACCAGCCCTTCCTCCTGAATGTTTTCCTTGTTTACACCCATCCTATTTTATCCCATTAGATGTGTAGGAAGTTACATTTTCATCTGAAAAAATATTAAAGTCACACTCAACTACAAAGCTTCATGCAGTTCCAGGCTGGCTTGAGATTCAGGAGATCCGGCTTCAGAAAACAAAATAACAATACAGGGCCAGAGAGTTGGCAGCTACTCTTGAAGAGGACCAGGGGTTGATTTTCAACACTCACGTGATGGTCACAACCATCTGTATCTCCAGTCCTAACCAATGTCCTCTTCTGACCACCATTGGTTCCAGACACACAGTACACATAAATATATGCAGGCAAAACATCCATACAAATAAAATATTAAAATTAAAAACAGAAAACTTAAACATAATAGAAAGTTATTTCTGTTTTTCTAGAATTATGTCTGAGGGTTTCTGTTATAAAAAAAAAAAAAGCAGAGTTTTGTGAATAATGTCCTGAGAGTTTTTTCCATGTTGGCATCAAATTAAGGAAGGATATGGTACGATATGATCAGTATGATCTGTCATGCAAAAACATGAACAGAAAAACTGCAGGAAACAACAAAACATAGACATCTTGAGTACTGAAATTATTAGGTGATTTTTATTGTGCTCTTAAAATATTACGTTGTACATGTTATGAACTTTCTACAGTCATCAAACAAAACCTAAGTACGTATAATCAGGGGAAAAATGATGTTCCCTGTTTAAATATCCATTTCACAAAACCGTTTATCTTGAGTGTTTGCCTGCACATATGTCTGTATATTGGATTCTTGCCTGGTACCTGTGGCAGCCAGAGGAAAGGATTCAATGCAACTAGAGTAACAGACTTTTGTGAACTGCATGTGGGCATTGGGAATCAAACCCTGGCCTGACTTTTCACAGTAAGGGAGAAGAAGTCTTAGAAAGCCTCAGAATAGTCTATTCTGGTTTAGTATAAGAGTCACTTCAAGGGGATGGAGAGATGCCTCAGTAGTTAAGAACATTGCCTGCTCTTCCAAAGGTCCTGAGTTCAATTCCCAACAACCACATGGTGGCTCACAACCATCTGTAATGTGGTCTGGTGCCCTCTTCTAGCCTGCAGGCATACACGCTGACAAAATATTATATACATAATAAATAAATAATCTTTTAAAAATAAAGAGTCACTTTGGCCAGAAACATGGAATCATCATTAAATATTGATCTGGTTGGATGCCTGTAAAATTCATATTGAAATCAGCTCCCACTGTGAGAGGTTTAAAAGTGGGGCCACATGGAGACTTCAGAAGATGTCAAAAATCATTAATCCACTCATGATTATAAAGTTAATGATTTATCTCCAGAGCTATTAGAACTTTGAACTCAAAAATTCTTTAACCAGTAATATTATTATCAAAATAATGGTTTATATCTCCAGAGCGATTCTATTTTATATGCAAGTTTTCCTAGCCTTCTAACCTGCTCCCTGACTAGGAGGCAGACAGATCTCTGAGTTCCAAACCAGCTTGGTCTACAGACTTAAGTTCCAGAACTGTCTTGGTTACACAGAGAGACCCTGCCCCCAAAAACAAAACGAACAACAAAACACCTCACCCCATGAGGTATTAGCAAAATTGTAGTATTAGCAACAGAACGTAGTTCAATGCAAATGCCTCAAACTGTTACACAAGGTCGAGTGCCCTGTCCTGACTCTACCTCCAAACAGAATTCTGACTCACCCCATCAACAGCAGCCCAAGAGCGTTCTCATCAAGGGGCCTGCGCACCAGTAATGAAATCCTAGCCTATCAGAATGGTCACGGGGTCCTTCAGGAGTTATCAAAGCTGAAGCAAAAGCCCTAACTTTATGGCACGAGTTTCCACAGGTAGCTTCTGGACCTTGCTTGACTCCTTCCCCTCCCGATGTCCTGCCACTCTTTTCAGAGGCCAGATTTCCCAACGGGGTGTCCCTGTCCCCGGGTCTTACTTCCTCGGTCCCTCCCGCCAAGGTCCCTGTCCAGGGCACCACCGGGCAGTTCTACCACGAGCCTCCCTCCCACTCCAGTGCTGGGGCCTCCTCGGGGCTTCGCGGTCCGCACGGGCACCTCCTGCATCAGCCTCGGACACCGCCGGTAGGGGGCGCCCAGGAGCGAGGAACCCAGCGGCCTTCCCGCACGACCGACGATTCTGAAGTTAATTGCTCTCCACCCGAGGCCTGGG